AGATTGCACCACTGCACTCCAGCCTGGGTGACAGAGTGAGACTATGTCACAAAGAATGAAAACAAAACCATTATATTGTTACAGAATTTAGTATCCCTTTCTCCACTAAAATGTTAGCTCTTTGAAAGCAGGGGCTATTTCATTCATTTTCATTTTTGAATTCCCAGGACCTGGCATGTTGTGGACAGGCAATAATCAAATTGTTAAATGAATTTTAAATGGCAAATTAAATCACGTTAATGTAGAATTTCACAATAATTTAACTAAAAAGTAACTAAAAGTGTCTAAAAATAGTAGCTATCTTTCATTATCTATTTACTATTTGCCAGGCTTAAAACTATTAAGCAAATATTTTATATTTGTTATGTCAGTGCTTTCCAAATTTTAATATATACTATTTTCCTTAATTTACTCATTTTTACTACTAATAAATATATATTAGAAGAAAAGCTTATATTATTACCACATGTGGAAAACTGGTATCACTTGACATAAATGGAAATAAAGTAAATCATTAAGTAAATGTAAACAGTGGTGTATTTACCAAACTGTTCTTCAATGAGAAAAAATTATTTAAGATTGGTCAGGCTGGGTGTAGTGGCTCACACCTGTAATCCCAGCACTTTGGGAGGCTGCCCTGGGCAGGCAGATCACTTGAAGTCAGGAGTTCAAGATCAGCCTGGCCAACATGGAAAAATGCCGTTTCTACAAATAAAAAAATTGTCCAGGTGTTGTGGTGTGTGCCTGTAATCCCAGCTACCAGGGAGGCTGAGGTAGGAGAATCACCTGAACCTGGGAGGCAGAGGTTGCAGTGAGCTGAGATTGTGCCACTGCACCCTAGCCTGGACGACAGAGCAAGACTCCACCTCCAAAAAAAAAAAAAAAAAAAAAAGAATTCCCTGATCCTGCCTGGTAAACCTAGTGACTATTGCCCTCGGTTCCTATCGCACTTTGTACATAGCTCCAATAATAATACATAAAATATTATACCGTGGGTGGGCATGGTGGCTCACATCTGTAATCCCAGCACTTCGGGAGACGGAGGTGGGTGGATCACCTGAGGTCAGGAGTTAGAGATCAGCCTGGCCAACATG